ATAAGTTCTGTTCTCTCACTGTCAATATTTGATTTCTCAGAGCCATCTCCACAGAAAGGCAGGGGGGCTCTTCCCTTCTTCCCCCTACCTTGGCCCTCTTTGGGCCACCCCCAGTGTCTTTGTACCCCCTACCCTCTCTGCACTTACTGAATTAATGAAATGATATTAAAGTCTTAAGCAACTCCAAGAAGAATGGTTGTTATGGTGAGAGGAGTGGGCAGGACGCCTGGGTCCCTGAGGGGAGCAAGGGCTGAGGCGGGGGACAGTGAGCCAGAGGCCAAGGTCTACAGGCCCCAGGCTCCCATAAGGAATGGCAGATTTGGGGTGATCTGGGGTGCCAGACTTCCAGATTGATCATGGTGGGAAGCATGGCGTGAGGGCAGGGGGCTCAGGGAAGGTGGGAAGGGAGAACATGCAGGGCGTCAGGGTCCCAGTTCTGCTGTCCAGAACATCCATCAGGACAGGATGAGGAGGCCAGCTCAGGGAGGCGGGGTGGGGGACAGGACAGGGACTCTGTGCCAGCAGCCTCCCTGCTGGCCGTGCTGTGGGCCAGTCCCGTGAGAACCAGAGTAGATTCCCCATCCCTCTCCCCGCCTTCCCAAGCAGCCCCCCACAGGTGATTTGTAGCTGATGCCCCCTCCATGGCAAGGGCCAGGACGGAGTCATCTGTGACGTGAAGAACAGAGCTTCTGGAGAGAAGAGAACAGAGGCCAACGAGAGGAAGCCAAGCACCACCCCTACCAACCCCATCTCACTCCCCTGGGGACCCTGGCCCAGCCCCAGTCCCCTTGGGGTGGTGGGAATGCAAGGACATTTGGCTGGAGCTGATTGATGAGGGAGGAGGCAGCCACTGGGCACTGAGGCTGCTGTTTGCTGAGCACACAGATTCCTCCCCACTCACCAGCTGCTGCCCCCGAGGCTGTGCAGTCCCCCACCCAGCGGCCACTGAGTTTCGGGGGAGCTGGTGCCTGAGTTCATGCTGGCAACAGGGGAAGAGGGAGAACCAGGAATCCACGGGCTTCACCTCTCCGTGGCCATCAGGGCTGCCTGGGCCCAGATCCCTCGGAACTCCCTTCAGGGCGCCACCTCCACCTGGCTCTTTCTGCCATTCATCCTGCATCCTCTTTTCTTTCTCCACCCAACTCTAAGCTCATACCAGCCTACGGCTGCTTCCAGCCCCACCTGCAACACTTTTCACAGGCTGCCCACAGGCCCCAAAGCTCTCTTAGGAAGGCCTCGTGTCCATGGGTGCCCATTTGGCCTCTTAAGAAGCTCCACTGTTCCCCATTCTCAGTGAAAATCCAGATGTGATATTAGCTAGTCCCTATCAGAAATGCCTATTGCAACTCCTCGCCCATTCCCCTTTCTTTAACGTCCCCAGCACACCTCTCCTGTGAATTTTGTCTCCCAACTGCTCTGTTTGGGAGGATGGTAAGGTCTGCACTCCTGTCTGTGGCTAAGCCTGGAAGTCAGTCTTGATCCTGGGCTGTTGAGGGGAGCAGCTCCGTGGTACCCCAAGCCCTCTCTATTCTGTTAGTCCTACTCGCCTGACTGTCTTGTATTCTGTACTTTGGATCTTGTGTCTGTTTTAGCCACCCAAAACTCAGAGCATCATCCCTGGCCTCCCAGACTTTAAAGGAAAACACAAGTAATTCACAGACACAGGAGGAACAAAGGGGAAAGTCAGGTGGGTGGTAGAAGTCAGGTACTCAGCCACTCAGGAAGCAAAGGCAGAAAGATCTAAGTTCAAGGCCAGCCCGGGAAATATAGAGAGACGTTGCCTTAAAATAAAAGTTAAGACTGGTCAGGCATAGTGGCACACACCTGTAATCCTCGCCCTTGAGAGGCTGAGGCAGGAGGATTCCTGTGAATTCAAAGCTAGCTACGTAATGAGTTCAAGGCCAGCCTGAACTCCATAATGAGATCCTGTTTAAAACAAACAAACAATAAATAAATAAATGGTATTGCATGGCAGTGAGCCCAGTCCTCTGAGACTAAGGCTGAAGGATTGCAAGTTTAACGCCAGCTTAGTTTGGACTCTTTAGTTTGTGAGACTCTTTCTCACAAACTAAAAAGGGACTGGGGATGTGGTTCTGTGTGAAGGCCCTGGGGTCAGTTTCCAGTAGCACAAAATAATTAATTAGTTAATTAATTAAAATAACTTTTAAAAGGGTCTGGGCCAGGCATGGTGGTATACATCTGTGAGCCCACCACTTGGGAGGCTGAGTCAGGAGGAGCCCCCGGAGCTCAAGGCCAGCTGGTCCTACACGGTGAGGCCCTGTCTCAGAAACCCAAACAACTAAACAAACAAATAAAATCTTTGAGGGGTGGGGCTGGGCATTTAGACATTTAGCTCGGTGGCAAAGCATCTGCCTGGCAAGCGCAAGGTCCTGCGTTTGATCCCTGGTACTCAAATAAAATAAAATAAAAATAAAAAATGAAATAAAACAAAATATTTTTAAAAGGAGGGAACTGGGGATATGGCTCATTGTGAAGGCCCTGAATTCATTCTCTAATAACAAAAACATCATTTTTAATAAATAAATAAAGGGCCGGGGATTTAGCTCAGCGGCACAAGCGTCTGCCTGGCAAGCTCAAGGTCATGAGTTCAATCCCCGGTATCAACAAATAAATAAATAAAATAGGGAACCGGAGATAGAGTTCAGCTGCACAGAAGCTGCCTGGTTTGTGTGAGGTCCTGAGTTCAATTCCCGTACCCCAAAAATTAAATAAATAATAGATAAAATCAAACAGGCTGAGGTTGTCGCTCAGGGGTAGAGCGCCCATGGGTTTAAGCCCCCAGTACCACAAAAGGAGGAAGATGAAGGAAGGAAGGGGAAAGAGGAAGAGAGGGAGGGAAAGAAAAGGGAGAAGCCCAGGGATCACCTGCTCGGTGTGTACCCTGGACCCTCGATGGCCTGCTGCCCACTGGTGGAGGCTGAGGACACGCAGGGCGTGTGTGCATGCTACGATGTCCTGTTGGCTGTTACTGACGGGGACTACAGAAAACTTTGTCATCCTTCCAAACAGAAGCAGCTGAGGGGTTCAGGTTTCACAGGAGGGGTGTGTTGGGGCATTAAAGGAAGGGGAATGGGGCAAGGAGCTGCAACATGAACTTCCGTGCCTTGGCACCTGCTGTCCCTTCCCCATCATGCCTGGCTTACTCTTCAGTACCCCAGATCCTTGTCATGTCAGGGACTTTCTGACCTAGTCCGCAGCGTTTCCCAGTTACTCTCCATCTTGTTACTGTTTTCTCCACGTTAGTTTTCACACCTGAAATTACATTACCGTTTCCCATCTAAGTGTGGACTTCAGGGCGGGGTACGTATCTCAGCGGAAGGGCATTTGTCCCTTGGTTTCACCTGAGCACTGGAAGGGGTGGGGAGAAGGATTATTTTTTAAATTATAAATAAATAAATAAACCCAGAAAGACACGGACTTCATGAAAGCAGGGAACTTATTCACCATGAATTCGCAGTGCCAGCCATAGTACTGGGATGAAGTAGACAGAGGCCAAGTGACCAAGTGACGGGACAGTCCAGTCTGTATTCTGCCTGTTGCCGCTGCTGCCCTAAGACCCGGTCTCTGCACTCAAACCCAGAAAAGCCAACGGGACGGCATGTGTTGTTCTGCGTGGAACTCACCAGCATTTTCAAATAGCCCAGACACAGGAGTCGCCACACACGAGGGGCTGTAGGTGCTGTGTGTGAATGTCAGGCGGGTGGCAGGCAGTGTCTGTAGATGCCAGCGCTCTGCTCTGAGAGGGTGTGTCCCAGGGTGCTGGGTGGTATGTGCTGTTCCTCTCCCCAGCTGTGCGTCTGTCCCCAGGTGTCTTCCTGTCTCTCAGCATGTTATGATGTCTTGGCAGCTTTGGTGAGGTGTTTGTCACAGAGAGTGTTTATCCCCACTCCCCTTCCCTCTTTTCTCCACCTGCACCTATAGATTCGTGTGCCAAGGGGGACTCTCCCTCCGCTCTTGCCCCTCACAGGCACAGCCATGCCCCAGTCTTGGACCCCTCCCTTTCTCAGTGGGCCCTGTTGCTGGGCTCTGAGTTGCCATAGTGACGGTTGCCAAGTCCCTGAGGCTGATAGCCAGCGATGGGGCTGTCGGCTCCATCCACGCGGGAGGCTGAGGGGGGCTTCCCATTGTGTGGAGAAGGGGATGTTGCCAAGACAACCAACCCCCACTAAGGGCCAGGGACCAGCCCTTCCACCCCCCATGAGCCTCCCCACCTCGGCAGCTCCAGTGTGGGCTCAGAAGGCAGGAGGAAATTCCAGACAGCCCAGCACCTGGCTCCCCAGCTCCCAACTCCCCTCTAGCACCACGCCTGCACCTCTCAGGACCCAACCTCGGGCAGAGGTGGGGGAGGACAGGGGACCCTCGGACAAGGAGGGGAAGAGGGACCCTTGACCTCCAAGCAGATGGGAGACAGCGGGAGGGAACTTAAAGTCAGGGGAGGGGCGCGAAGGGCAGAGGTTGCGACCCCTGCTGACTGGCTCCAGTGATGCTCCTGACGGGTGCTTTTGTGGGGGAAGAATGGGACTGCGTTTAGGGGGCTGGGCACCTGGGCTCTTTGGAGAAGAGGTCCAGTGATGAGCACTTGACACCTGGGTCCACCTTCCTACTTTCTTCCACTCAGCTAGTCTCTACTAACGTGCCTTAGAGGTGCCCGGAGGAGGGCAGGTAGGGAAGAGGACTGTACACAATTCCCCACTCTGCTAACTGTGACTGCCGCATTCCCCGCCGCTGTGGACGGACATCGACAACACGCAGGACCGTATATTCCTGTAGACCCTCCGGCCCAAGTTCTCCACTCTGGGGGGCGGCTGGAGGTGCTCACTTTCCCCAGCCTTCTCTCCTGGCCCAGCGTCTCCTCCCCAGACTGCCCACCTCAGTCCAAGCAACCCTCCCCATGCCTTCAGATTCCACACCAGCCACCCCTCAGCCTGAAAGCCGTCCTGACCACCGGGTTCACATCATTATTCTCCAGCAGCCTCAGCAACTTTTGAAGTTTTTTATTATTTTTTTTGGTTTTTGTTGTTCAAATTTCCCTTTTACAGTAAAACTATCGAGGTGACGGCCGTACCCCGCCACCTCCCCCATGGCAATATCAACTTCCTGTTCCCGGAAAGGAGCTGGGAACCACAGCATCAGAGAGATGACTTGACCTCTGGTGGACAAAGCAACCATCTTGGCTGGTGACTGAGGTGGTGACTCGATGTCCAAGGGCAGCTTCGATCTAATAAAACTGAGCTGGGAGGAAACTGTTGGCAACGGCCAACTGCACTAGAGGGCAGGAAGAGGTATAGGCTGGTGACGATGCAGACAGTGGCCATTTCTAAGTACCACTGGCAGCTAGACCAGTTGGGAGACCACCATTTTGGTCACTAAGAAGGAAGCCATTACTGGCTTTGAAGGGAAGATGCAGTGAACAAGACGGTCATCTGGTTACCAAGGGATGGGCTTTGGGGTAGTCCCCAGATGTATTAACAGACATTATACTGAGATACGGGAAGGGGCACACAGGACAAATGGGGCCTGCCACGCGGACGGCAGTCATCTTAGCTGTCTTAAAATCACACAGAACACGTGGGAAAGGAGTTCCTGGGAAGTGCCACTGAATACTAGGCAAGTCTTCCTCCGTCCACCTCTGCCTCTCAGTCAGAGTTCCCGCTTCCTCCTAAAACAGGAAGTTCCTCTTGCCTCCTTCTCCACAGGGTAAGAACCATCCACTCCCCACCCCAACCCCAGCCTAGGCCACGTGAGTTCCAGCCAGACCACTTCCTGTTTCAGAAGTGCTACTTCCTGTCCTGGATGAAGGCACTTCCGTTCCTCTGCACTGCTTCTGCCACTTTCCAGGCCATTTCTGTCCAGGCCTGGTCACTTCTTGTCTGGAGAAAGTCATTTCTGTCCCAAGTGGCCCATTCAACATCAGACCAAGTGCACAATGTCCCAACTGGTTCATATCTTGCTGTCAGCCACTGGACAAAACAGGACACTTCTTCTCGTGGTAGCTGTCATGGCCCAACCACCCCAAATGGCTGGAGTAAGAAGGTAGCGGCTTGGGGCAGGGCAGAGGCCCCTGCCACCCATGCCCTGAGCTGGGGTGGAGCGCCAGAGCCTTCCCCGTAAGGCCCCCGTTTTTGGCGGACTGAGGACAGTGGTTGGTGTGAGAGGTCAGAAGCGGGCTGAGAGCTAAGGGAACAAGTGCTTTGCCGCCCACCCGGGAGACGGGAGAGGCGCAGGGAAAAAGCCAAAGGGTAAAGAAGATGTAAGGAGGAAGATGCTAGGGAAGAACAGAACAGACCTAGAGACAGGAAGGGAGAAAGAATAAGAGATAGAAAGAAGAGAAACAGTGAGAAGCATCAAGAAGTGCCAACCAACAGACAGACTGCTCCCGCCCCTACCCTGGTGGACAAGGGGGACATGGAGCCCTGGGTCACGATCAGCGAGGAGGCTGAGCCTGTGCTGCTTCCCAAGGGACACAGGGACACAGGGGTACCTAGGACCCAGTGGGAGGACAGCAGGGGTGCGGTGGAAATCTTGAGGGACCCTAAAAATAGAGACGAGAGGAACAGCCGGGAGGAATAAAGGAGCTAGTGGGAAAAGGGGGCCAAGGAGACGCCAGAGGTGTCCCTCAAACCATGAATTAAACCAGGGGAGCACCCCAAGAAGGGCTAGACTTAGGAGAGTCAAGTGGAGGAGCCCTCATACCTTGTAGTAGATGTTTGGAGGGCTCTGGGGGGGCCCGTCCTGCACGATGTACACAGGGTGCCCGTAGTCACCACTCACCTTCTCATAGTGGGGACAGAAGGGGGGGTCTGCAGCCCCGCCGCCCCGCAGAGCTATCCCTAGCTCCCCAGGCTCAGCCTCCCGAGGTCCCATCCCCCCGCCGCCCCCCAGGGCCAGAGACCCTCCCCTCCCAAAGGAGCCAGGACCAGGGTGGCGACTCTCCGAAGGCTTGGCCCGCCGTCTCCGCCAACACATGGCACCCCCAGCCCCTGCCACGCCCAGCAAGAGCAGCGCCAGCCCCCCTGCTGCCCCAGCCACTGCAGGCATGCTGGGAGGGGGCAGGGGGCCTTCAGCACCCCGGGAGGTTGCATTGCTGGTGGGGTCACCTGGCAGGGAAGGGGTGAAGGAGGAAAGAGGGGGAGGGGCTGAAGAAGCCACCTGGACATCTGAATACCCAGCCTTGGGGGTCCCCGTGGGCTTCCCCAGCAGTGCCCAGACCCCTTGGGGACCCCACTCTAGCTCCCCCCAGCCCCACTCAGAATCCAGGTGTCCAGCCTGCGGTTCCCTGCCACAGCGTCCTCCCCACTTCTCTGACAGCACTGATTGAAGCACTGACTTGGCTAATTAGTTCTAATTGAGTCTTTTCCTCATTTGGCTTCCATTCCCTTCCCACCCTCCTGTCCTCTCTTTTTCCTGTGTCGCCACCCCCAAAGTGGAGTGAGGGAAAGGGCGAAGGCAGGGCAGCTGGGTCTGAGAGCACAGAGGGCACGGGGCAGCCCCCCTTCCTACCTGGCATGCTCTCCTTCCCGGGCTCCAGGCTGTGAGCCGCCCCTCTGTCTTTCTCCATGGGCATTTCAGACACAGGCTTTCGGGGGATGGCCCCTACTCGGGGACCTGTGGATGGAGGTGATCCAAGAGAGGGACTGAGTTGGCTGCCCCTGACCATCTCTCCAGTACTTACTGAACCCCGACCTCCAGTAGGGAGCCCCCAGCCCCACTCACTCTGTCCCACTCGGAGAAGCACCTTCATGCCTCTGGTCAGGCACACGCCACCCTGCAAACTCTCCAGGCCTTCTCGGGTTCCATCTGATGTGGCTGGGAGAGAAGAGCAGCGTGAGACGTTGGCATTCCAGGATCAACCCCGGTTCCCACCCTGTGTCCTACAAGACCTCTGAGGGCCCAGTGCTCCTGCTCCGGATTCCAACGAGCAGCCCTCATTCCCCTCCACCCAGGGACCACTTGCCCCCACCCACTGCCCAGCAGTACCGATGATGTAGTAGTCTCGGTGTGAGCGGAACTCGTGGCCCCACAGGTTGGGGCTGTACTCCTGGAACTTAATGGTGAAGCGCAGATCCAGGTCTGGCCGGTCACACGTGAGGAGGAGGTTTGGAGCAGGGGGTGCCTCACAGCGCCGGCCCTGGGCACCCTCTACCAGGTACAGCTTATAAAACTCATAATTAGGAGAGGAGTGGGGACCAGGAGGCCGGGCCCGGGGGCAAAGTAGGTCTAGCCGGTCCCCAATCTGAGGGTACAACACATAACCACCCTCTGCCTGGAACCTGTGGGGAAAGGGCAGACGGACAAGGAAGAAATATCAGGGGTGTGGTCCCCAGAACTCTCTGTCCTCACTCCTCCAGGACAGCAGTTCTCAGGCTTCCATCTGCCTGGCCTTTCCTGACTGGAAAGCCTGTGCTGTAAGGCTGGGTGGGCACCAAGGACTCTGAGTGCTCACATCAGAAGCAGCAGGAAGCCGGGCTCAGAGGTCTCCTGCCCCTTGGTGTGCCCAAATGCACTCTTCAGCCCGCCCTCACCACATGCACACAGCCATCTCCCGCTCCATCACCGATGCTGTTGCCATGGCAACAGGATGCCAGTTACCAAGGAGCTGGCCTCTCTGGAACCACACAGCCCACCCCTCCCAGGTGATTTCACTATTCCATGGCAGTGAACCATGGGGGCAGAGCCTCCCCTCCTCCACCCCATCACTGAATTTGAGGGATTTCAGGCAAAGGGCACCGGTGGGGTGGAAGTTAAGGAAAGAGATGTAGAAGATGCTCCTGACTGGTGTCCCAAGCTAGCCATTAATGGGACTGGAGGCAAATGCCTGCCTTAGCAATGGCCCTACATGGGGCTAAAGGAACCAAGGTATGGAGAATAGTTTGCTTTGGTCATTCCCTTACTCAGTTCTTTTGGGCTCAGATTTCTTGGGTAAAGTGCTGTATTGCTTTTGAGTTGAAGTAGTTGGTTTTCCTAACCCTAACCAACACAACCCAGCATCTCGTGAAAGTGGGAGTGAGGCTGGGGAACCCAAGGGCCCAGTGCTACCACAGCTGGCCCACCACGGCAGCCCCGCCTTGGAGACTGGGTCTCAGGCTCAGTCCCAGAGGACTGCTGCCCATCATCTTCCTAGACTACCAAATGACCCCCTGCCTCTGCCCTCACATCCAGAAGACCCCCCACAACACCAAGTCGCCTTTCCTCAGCCCTACTGGAATAAGTCTTAATTTACGTCCTCAAGTTACACCAGATACTCCAATTGCAGCCAGCCTGAGTACAGAAAAAACACTGAGATTATCCCCCAAAGAGATATGGGAGGGAAGGAAGGATGCCAGAACAGGGAGGTGAGAGGGAGCCTGGGAAGTGAAGGGAAGAACAATAATCCTAGCTCTGCTTTCACGAACATGTAATATGTTCAAACACCTTACCTCTAATCCTCAAAACAGCTGTAAGGACTGAGGATATAAACTCGGAAAGGTTAAGTGACATGCCCAAGGCCACACTGCTAAAGAGGCAGAGCTAGGATTAAGACCAATGATTTGGGGAGCTCTGCAGCCCCCCCCCCCATGACCTCCCACAGCCTCCCCAGGAAGGAGCAAGTTTTTAAAACATGTAACTCTTTTGCTAAAGGGAATGAGAACTGCGTGGAGGAAGGGGACCCAGAGGACCTCCCAAAGGTTCTGTTCTACCCTGATAGAGCCTGAAGTTTCATGTGACCCTTGGCCTCTTTTCAGAGCAAAGCAAGCATGCCATGGAACAGAGGCCCCTGATGGAAGAGTTTGCAGCAAAGACAGGGGGAGGGGGCCACAGGGTCCTCAAACTCCAGAGGCCGGAGGGAAAGAAAGAGGCTGGCGGGGGCCCTGTGTTTCTTCTGCAAAGAAGCTCCGAGCCAGAAAGGTAGGCACATGCTCTGACTGAAAACTGTTTGGCCAAAGGCTTGCCCACCTTCTGGCTGTGGACAGGAGTTGGGAGCCAGACTCAAGAGTCAAGGACCTTGCTTTGGGGAAACTGTTCCCCAAACCCCCGAACTGAGCCCCTTCCCTTCCTATGTCCAATGCCGAGTCCCTTGTGGGAGAGAGGCACCCCGGCCTTCCCTCAGCAGCACCTACTCAAGGGCTCTCCTGAGAGCTGACATTAACCAGGCTCCCTCCAATCCCGCCCACCCCGCCCCCACGCAGGTTTCCCACAGATCCAAATAACCGCTCCGCTGCCCTCCTGCTGCCCATAAACTTTTTATCTTTGTCCCTTTAGGGTCTCCACACTCCTGACACATGGACATCACCACCCACCTCCAGCTCTGTGTGGGCTCCCGAGATAACTGCTCTCCGTGACCGGCCTGGCACATCAGGGCACTAGCACCTTCCTCCAGCCTCTTTCCTGCTCACAGAACCGAGGCCCCCAGTCCCCAAAGCTCCCACACCCCCTCGCCCTGCCCTTCGGCTCTAGGGTCTCCCCAGCACCAGACTGCTCACCTCTTATTCGCTGAGTTCCAGTAGACAGGCTCCAGGCTGAGCCCAGACACCAGCCCCCAAAACGCCAGAAGCAGCAGGGCCCCAGCTTGCACACCCCCCAGCCCAGAATGGGGGGCCCCCATGACCCCGCCAAGGCCTGGGGGGCGGGGCACCAACTCCCCCAAAGTCGCTCACCCCCGGGGGTGACTGCCGCGGCCAGCAGGCTGTTCAGCCCCGATCACCCCGCGGGTGGCCGCTGTCCCCGGGTCCCACGCGGACCGCTTCCTGCTGTCCCCGCGCCCCCGCTCCAGAGCCTTCAGCCCCACGAGCCCTTGCAGGGGCTGTCTGCAGGCGCCCTCCGCGGCCCCGGCCCACGCGCCAGCACCCCGAGGTTTGTGCGCCGGCCTAAGTAGGGGGCTGGGGGAGCCAGGGTCCAGGTGGGGGCAGCATGGGGTGCCAGGAGAGGGAGCGAGGATGGGGACGCCGAGCCGGAGCCCCAGCCTCGCCGGGATTGAGGGCAGCGGGCTAAGGGAGGAAACCAGTCCCGAGCCCAGGAGGGGGGAGTTAAAGGAGAGGCGGGGAGGGGGAGCGGATGGCGGAGGGAAAAGCCGGAGCTGGAGCGCGGGCGGAGCGGCTGCATCCCGCGCCCCCGCCCCCGCGCCGCCCTCACCTCCGCGCCCCCGCCCGCGGCGCGGCCCCCCGCGGCCCCGACCCCCCACCGCAGCCCGGCGTGGCCGCCCACGCCCCGCGGAACTGCTCCCCGAGTTCCGGCTGCGGCTGACTGTGCGCCCTCTGCCCTCCTGCCCTCCGGTGTCTGTCGCTGGAACCTTCCCCTCTAGAATCCAGAAGGGCGCTCGCCCTCTCCACCCCGAGCCCTCCCCCTGGGCTCCGCAGCCTCCTCCTCCTCCTCCACCCCAAAACACCGCGCCGCTCGGCTGCTCCCGGCTCCCGGGCCGGGGTAACCTTGCAGGCTTGCACCTGACAGAGCGCGGCTGCGGGTGCTCACAACTACCTGTGTGCGGAGGAGGGCAGAGCTGCGATCCCACTGCAGCGCGGAAGAAGCCGAGGTTGGGGGGACCCGGTGACTTGCCCAAGGTCACACGGGAATGTGGAATACACTTCAGAACCAAACCGGGGTGCTGGACCCTCATTCCTAGGTGTGTCCGTCACTGCTCCCTGGGCCCTCTGCGGGGTCTGAGGGTTAGGTGAAGGCAGGAAATGAGCCAGGAAACTTGGGCCCTTCTTAGGTGGCTGTGGGGAGGCAGGCTGAGAGAGGAAAGGGGGTACCTACGATTCCAAGCCCACACTCCTCAGCAAGGGCTGTTTCCAATTATCCTGGGGGAAGGGAGGAGTTGCCTTTTTGGGTGTAAGAACCCTGGCTTTCAGCACCTCCTGGCAGGGGCGACATTCCTCTCCTCCAGCTCGCCCCGCAGCCTTCCCTTCCCTTTGATTGTGAGGTCCCCAATCGCATGCCCTGCTGACAGTTTCCCTTCAAAGCCCCTCTCCTTGTGTGGCAAGGTGCGTGTGGGGAGAGGAAGCAGACAGAAATCAGGGAGCGGGGTGCCAGCCGCTGCCTGCCTGAGGGAGAAGGGAGCTGACAAAGGTGCCGTCCCTAGTCCCTTCCCCGTGTGTCCTTGACTCAGGCTGGGTTGCCTGCTCCTGGAGAAGTCCAGGGCCGGGGAGCCAACGCGCCCACTCCTTGGCCTTCCCCTTCCCAGAGCCGAGTGCGGTCCCTCTGCCGCGGGACGGCGGTGACAGCGTGGAGCCGGCGGTGAGCCTGTCGCGTCTGTCACTGTCTGCAGTCTCGCACAGTCACACCCAGCAGTCTGACACTGAGCTCCTGCCGCTCCCGCTCAGCCCAGCTCACCCTAACCTCTGCTGCCCCCACCTTGGGAGTGAGATTTCAAACAGGTCCCCTTCAGTTTACCGCATTGCCTAGCAACCACCCGGTCCTCGGGCGCGAGGCCCCACCCCGCCCACTCGACTTCACACCAGCTCATCCTTCCATTGGTCCCTGCCTGGTCCCACCCCTCAACCCCTGGCTTCAGGAACAGTATGCCAGTCACCCCACCGCAGGCCAAGGGAACCCCTAGTTCTCATACCCAGCCCACACCTGTCATTTGCCATTTGCCCCTCCAAACAAGACGCGAAGACTCTAGTACCATATAAAACCTTTTTATGTAAGTTCCCCCCCACTTCCCTCCATCACGCCTGGTCTGGTCTGGTCCTGGTGGTCCTCAGGGTTACTGGGGTCTGGATCCCCCATACACCACCAGAGTTGGAGCCGACACTCGAGGTGGACGTGGCGCAGGGAGAGCAGGGGAAGGTCTGGCACCTGCTCTCCCTCATCCCCGCTATCCGTGGGCTCTGGGAATACGCGCTGACCCGAGGCCGTGGCCAGCAGAGGTAGACTAGGGTGCAGGCTGGCAGGAGAAACCAAGGGGCCTTTGTGAGCCTGGGGCAGGGGCCGTGAGCCTAGGCAGGGACGCTGGCCCCTCCCTCGGGCATCCCCGCCCTCCCCGCCCACAGTGCAGACCTCACTCCGTTGGTGCAGTCCTTCTGGGGCAGGAAACTCAGCACGGGCTCTGGCTTCCCGTCATCGCCACCAGCCCCGCTGATGTCCCACACGGAGACAGCCCCGCTGGTGCTGCCGCTCACCAGGAACTGCCCGCTCCTGGGAAGAGGAGACTGGCTGGCTGGCTGGCACACAAGCACTGCCCTGTGGTGGGAACCCTCAGACCCTGAATGGGACTCCACAGTCCGGCTCTGGCATGCTCGGGGCACTGGGGCCTTAGGCAGGAAGGGGCCACAGCCACTCACGGGTCCAAATCGAAGTAGATGCGCTGGTTAGTGGTCACCTCCCGACTCAGGGACCACAGCGGATGACCAGGCTGCCGGAGATCCCAGCACAGAAGTTCAGCATCCTAAAGACACAACAGGGGTCTAGGATGTCCGTCCTGCCCCCGCCCCAGTGTCCCCACCTGAGTAACGCTTGGCACTGCCCAACACGCGACAGACTATATCCACACTCCTGCACTGCTGCCCACCTACCTGCTGTGGGCTCTCAGCATGTGACTCCTACCTTTCGGGCTCCTGAGAAGAAGCGGTTGCCATCAGGATGAAAGCACAGGTGGGTGACGCCCCCTCGGTGCCCACCCAGCAAGGCGAGAAGGGAGCCATCATCCCAGGCATAGAGGCCCAGAGAGCAGCCGTAGGAGCCACAGGCATAGAGGGGCTGGGTAGGGCTGAAGGCTATGCAGGAGATGATGCCACTCTGGCCCTGCTTTTTTGCTAGAAAGGGAAGGAACACAGTGGAGGGAGATGGCACCTGTCACTAGAGACAGTCCCCGGCTCTAGCACCAACACGCTGGGATTCAGTTTCTCCCTCACTGTGCACTGTCACCAGCAGCACAGAAACCTCTGATGTTTCCCAGATCCTTCTATCCCCTCAAAGCTCTAAAGGCCCAAGGCTTCTGTCTTCCCTCTCCGATTCCAGCTTTTCCTGGAAGGGAAAGACGAAGTTCTACAGGAAATGGATTCAGCTTCATCTCAAATATTCTACAGGGACGGGTAAAACAGTAGTAGAGCACTGGTCTGGTTACTTGTAAGGCTCTGAATTCCATTCCCAGTACCATGAAAAAATAATAAAATTTCTAGAGATTAGAAATTTTATATTATTATTGACACAGGGTCTCACCATGTAACTCAGGCTGGTCTTAAACTCGCTACATTGTAGCCCAAGTTGGCCTCAAACTTGTAGCAATCTTCCTGCCTCAGCCTCCCCAGCACTGGGATTACAGGTGTGCACCACTGTGTCAAGCTTAAGACTGAAGAGTTGGGGGCTGGGGATTGAGCTCAGTGGCATAAGTACCTGCCTTGCTAGCAGGCGGTCGTGAGTTCAATCCCCGGTACCGATAAGAATGAAAAAGACAAAAAAAAAAAAAGACTTAAGAGTTGGTTTTTTTTTTTTTTTTGTCTTTTTCCTTTTTATCGGTACCGGGGATTGAACTTACGACCGCCTGCTTGCAAGGCAGGTGCTTATGCCGCTGAGCTAAATCCCCAGCCCCAGACTAGAAGAGTTTTAAAGAACAAACTGATTCTCTAATGAGCTGGCTGACTTTGGGAAAGCTTCCTCCAACTCTAAATTTGCTTTCTCCTCTGCGACCGGGTATAACCTGCCTCCCAGGCCACAGTAAAAGCAAAGCAAAACTCCACAAGTAGCACCCTGGCTCACACAAGGTCCCCGAGCAGGTGGCGCACCCTGGCCTCTCCTCCTCCCTTGGAGGCACAGATGCTTACCGAAGGTGGCTCGAACCTCACAGTCTCGGCCAGGCCGGGACGTGGAAAAGACACGCACAGTCCGGTTGAACCCACAGAAGAGCTGGGAGCCATCCGGGGAGAAGCAGAGTGAATGGGCAGCCATCAGCTCATCCTGGGAAGAGAAAAGGCTGAAACCGGCTCCGTGCAAATCCTCGGCCATCTCCAAGGACAGGGAGCTGGGCAGGAGAGCCAGGTGGGCGGGCAGGGTCGCACCAGGTGATTGAAGGCGCGAAAGGAAGCTCGGAGCTCGCCAGTGAATGCGTCCCAGATGTGAATCGGATTCTCCCGGCTGCTGCTGGCCACGCTGAGAGAGACACGGACACTGAGGCCCTGGCACTGTCAAAGGAAGGGGAGGAAGCCAACTGACCAGCCCTTTCCGCTCTGATCCGAGGGACCCACAAACCTTCAGATGTCCCTGGCAGCCCTGACCCCCAGGGGTGAGTCCCTTGAATCTGGTGGGGGAGGAAGAGAGAGGCAGAGAGGATCACTTACTACGAAGTGTCTGGCTGGGATGAGGACATCAGAGAATACCAGCAGTAATCGTAGATGGTATCACCTTCCCCCATCCGGAGGACAGGGACCTGGAGGGAGACGCAGGAAGACAGGGTCACCAGCAGGGAAAAGTAATGCCCATGCGCCTACATTTTAAAGAGAGGGAGATCACATGTCAGCCCTGATCAGACAGGAGAGCACACGGGGTACAAACAAAGAAGCAAATCTTCAGCGTTCACCTCAGCCTCACGTATCAGACTAGGTCACTAACAGCCAGAGGTTCATACTTTTCAAATGCATACAAGAAATAACCCAACTCACAGACAAAAAAATCAACCAATAATAAAAAGACATATTGAGCACTTCCGAGCTCCCATTTTATCCTTTAAAAATTAGGGCTGGGGTACAGTTCAGGGGCACAGTACTTGCCTGACATGTGCAGGACCCTGAGTTTGACCTCCAGTACTGCAAAAACAAACAGTTCAAACATGCAAAGATCTTTAAAAAAAAAAAAAAAAAGGGGGGCCAGGGATTTAGCTCAGCAGCGTAAGTGCCTGCCTGGCAAGCAAAGGGTCATGAGTTTGATCCCCGGTACCAAGAAAAGGGAAAAAAAAAATGAAAATTGCTGGGCACAGTGGAACATGCCAGTAATCCCAGCACTCAGGGAGGGCTGCAGGAGGATTCCACGTGCACACACACGCAGGATACCAAAGCGCTTTAGGGAGACGCTGTCTTAAATAATGAGAAAAAGGCCAAGGATGTAGCTCAGCGCACTGGCGCCAACCTCCAGTGCCACAGAGACTAACCAAAGTGACCTCTTCATCCAGCATAAGGAAAAACTGTTAGTCCCTTTCCTACTAGAACCCTTCCCTCAGAGCCGACACTGCCCTCACATACCACCCTCACATGTCCTTCCTTTTCCTGAGCCGGGGTCTCGCTACATATTCAGGCGTGCCTTGAACTAGGTAGCCCAGACTGGCCCCCGCACTGGCAGCAGTCCTCCTGCCTCAGCCTCCCAGTGCTTGGATTACTGGCAGGCACCACCACACACAGCTCACACTTTCTTTAACAATATAGTCATACGGGGCGGAGTGTCCAGCCCTGCACTGCATGCCCTTTTCAGTTCATTCTAATGTCACACTGCACACGGCTCTGTGACTGGGGTGCTCTGCACTGCATGCAGTGTGCCACGCTGATCTTCCCTCTCCTGCAGGTGGGCACTGACAGGTCTACCTTTGGCTTGTGACCACGGACACCCTGAATCCTGGGGATGGGTTTCCTGAGCGTCTGTCTGGTAAGGAGTAAAATCACTGGTTTCTGTGACATCCGTATCATCAATTGTGAGGTAGTGTCAAGTTTGATTCCAAAGCGCTCATCTTAATGTAAGAGGCCTGCCAGCCAGGTGCAGGGCACATCTGCTATCCTAGCTCTCAGGAGGCGGAGGCAGGATGGCAAATTCAAGGCCAGTTCGAGTAATTTAGGAAGATCCTGTGCCAAAATAAAAAACTGTAAAGGGGTGGGAGCAGGGAATAGGGGCACAGTCTACAATCCTAGCCCTCTGGGAGGCAGAGTCAAGAGAACACTGAATTCCAGCCCAGTCTAGGCAATGTAAGGAATCCCAGTCTCAAAATAAAAAATGGCCTGGAGGTGTAATTTGGTGGAAGGCCCTGGGTTCAATTTTTAGTATCAAAAAAGACAAAGAGAGAGACTACAGGGTGGGGATATAGTGTAGTGGCAAAATACCCCTGGGGTTCAATCCCTGGTACCACAAAAAAGAAGGAAAGGCAGAAAGAGCGGAAAGGGTAGGGGAGTCAGGGTGGTGCTCTTTATCCGCCCAGCCTCTTTGGAGTTGAATCTTCCTGCCTGAAAGCTATAAAACATAGCCTGCAACTCCTCGGGCTGAATCCGCATCCTCTCCGGGGCTGAGATGCTTCTCCCTCTGCACAGCCTCCCCAGGCCCCCAAGTCTCCTGTGCTGCTCACGATGCAGTGTCCCTATCGGACAGCGGAGTCATCCTGCTCCCCTTACCGTATCTCCCCAACCCCAGTGTGTAACTGGCAGTCAGTACATGTTTTCATGAGCAAAGGTAGACAAGAGACCATTTCAGGAACACAAGGTCCAAAATAATACAACCCTGATTTGATGTAGAGGCAGTGATCTGGGGACCAGCAGGTGGATTAAAACGATTAGGTAGATTTAATAAGATTTGGTAATTAATTGGATGCCTGAGGTTTGGAGAAGGAAGGAAGATTAAAGGATGAGATCCTGGCTTCTGGCCTCATGCTTGAAGCCATAAAGAGGGTGAAGGACTTGGGGAACATCGGAAAGCCATGAGGTGGTGCGTGGCAGAAAATCAGCAGACTCAAAAAGAAGGTTTTACAAAAATGAGACCCCTGCATTTAAGAAGGAGGGCACCGAGGAAGCCACATCCCTGCTGGAGAGGCACAGAGCAGCGAAGGACTCGAGAGCCAGAGGCGGGGGCCAGGGATGTAGCTCTGGCACGGCGCCTGCCCAGCAAGCACGAGATCCTGAGTTCGATTCCCAGTAAAAACAAATAAAATAAAAAAGCCAGAGGCTAGGGCTGGGGATATAGTCTGGAGGTAGGTAGCTTGCCTAGGATGTGTAAAGTGCTAGGTTCCACCTCTTAGTACCACAAAGGGAGAGAAAAAAAGGCTACATAGTTGGGCAAGTCGTTAGGGAAGGGACTAGGGAGTTAGGAATACGAGTTTCAGAAAGATCTGTGAAGTTACAGAGAAGCGGGGAGAGGAGCTAGAAAACTACTTGAGCACAACACGTAGCTCACACAGGCAGAAGGGAACAGTTGGTCACCTCCCAGTATCTGAGGGACACGGGCTCCCCGACTCCCCAAACCCGTGTCGACATCCAGAGGCTCAGGTCACTTAAGTAAAAAGGAGAGACAGACGGGCACGTACACACGCTGCAGTTCCAGCGCCCTGGGAGGGTGGGCCGAAGGATGCCACGTTCAGGTTCAGTAACTTAGCAGCCGAGTGAGGCCCTATCTCAAAATAAAAATATGCCAGGTGTGGTGGCTCACACCCATAGTCTCAGCACTCAGGAAGGTGAGGCAGGAGGATCACCCAAGTTTGAGGCCAGACTAGAAATACACAGCACGTTCAAGGCCACTCTGGAATACATAAAAGAACCTGTCTCAAAAACATGCAAGCAAACAATCAAAATACAAAAAATCTAAAATGGGCTGGGGATACAGCTCAGTGCAAAGCCTTGGGTTCAATCCCAATACTGCAAAATGAATAAATAAAAATAAATGGCTTAGGATTTGCATAGAGCCAACAGATATTCTCCTATATTCTTTTTTTTTTTTATCGGTACCAGGGATCGAACTCACGACCGCCTGTTTGCAAAGCAGGTGCTTATGCCGCTGAGCTAAATCCCCAGCCCCCATTTCCCCGTATTCTTTAAGTCACTTCCAGCTTCCTTATAACGCCTATGCTATGCAAGTAACTGTTACACTGAATTGTTTAGGAAATAATGACAAAAAATCTGTACGTTCAGAACAGACACAATTCTTTTTTTGTCAAATATTTTGGATCTATGGCTGGTTAAATCCTCAAACGAAGACCCACAGATACAGAGGCCAACTACACCCAAAAATACCTTCCTGAAATTCCCCATGCATATAAATTTTATTGATTTCCAAATGCTAAGCTTGCAAACAATGCAAATAAGAACCCTAATGAGTGCTTGTTCCCAATAATCTCAATAGCCAACCGGATTGGGTGAAGAGTCCTAGATCACAGCTGGCTATGCACCGAGGAGCTGGGAGCCCACGGGGAAGCCTCCGGGAGCCTCCTCCTGCCCACGTGGAGTGAGCAGCTGTGTTCACCTCGCCTTGCCACCATGGTGTTCCTGCCTCAGTCAGGTCATGCTGCCAGTCCCCGAATCTGTGGGCCGAATAAGCCTCTCCTCCAAGCTGCCAGTATTGGGTATTTTGTCCCAGCAACACAAAAAAGTGACAGTGCAGTGAGGTTGGCATAGAATTGGTTCATCCATTCACTATCAACTGCAGTGAAATAACTGAAAAAAATACATAAAAAGCTTCTGAAAATAAATTGACCACGGCTGGGATTTACCTCAGTAGCATAAGCACTTGCCCGGCAAGCACAAGGATGTAAAGTTTGATCCCTGATACCAAAATAAAAAACAAATTAAATTAAATCGAACATATCACAAGACATAAAAATTATACAGAGCTGGGTGTAGCGGTACACGCCTGTAATCCCAGCACTCAGGAGACTGAGGTAGGATTGCCAAGAGTTTGAGGTCAGCCCAGGCTACAAAGTGAGTTCAAGGTCAGCCTGAATTGCATAGCAAAACCCTCTCTCCAAAAAAACCAAAGGGAAAAAAATTATACACATATACACGTATATATGCTGTCTGACCTACAATATTCCTAAACTCCTAAAATCCCTCTTTTAAAAAAAATCTCCTTATGTACAAGGTCCTGGGTTCAATCCCCCTTCCTTTTTTTTTTTTTTTTTTCCTTCAAAAAAGAAAGAGAAGCCAGGTGTGGTAATTCCAGCACCCGGCAGGCTGAGACTCGAGGATTGCCGCAAACCAGAGGCCAGGCTGGGCTACACATGTGTGGCAGTTTCAAAAAAATAGGAAAACAAAAGAAAAAAGGAAAAAGAGAGCTGCCCTCAAATATCAAAAAGATATTTACTGCATGCTAATTTATATTATTATAATCCTAGAAACAACTCCAAAACGGGAGAAGAGGTCAAAAATGCACTCAGTGTGACATCATACACCATTAAACACAGTAACTGTGAAGATCAGATCACCATGAAAAACACTTAGGACATGACTGTTCAAAGGAAAAAGCAGGACTCAGAACTGCTACAGGACTATGATGACAACAGCAGAAGCTCAGTACTTGGACAGAAGACAGAAGGCTTTAGTTAGTGTGCAGCGGTGCACACCTGGATTCCCACCACTGAGAGGCCTGGGCCAGCAGTGTGGTCCCAGACCAGCCCAAGGTACAGCGCAGGAGTCTGTCTTAAACAGCTAAACTGAAACCAAAATTTTAAAGGGCTGAGTTTTGTAGAGT